TTTAGACCCTACTATTATGTGTGGAAAGTAGAAAAAATTAAAACAAAACTTACTAGGATATTTGGATGGGACCTCGACCAAAGTATTTTTTACCAGGAGCACAAGGCCACTGTTGATTTGCAACACAGTAATCTGGTGGGCTACCTTGTTCTTGCTTGAAGCAATATCCCCATGAAAATGGACCATCCGGAGCTGTTCCCCACCCCCCTAATCATCAACATAATTCATACTTTTATATCTCGTATTACATTACTAACAATTGATTTCATACTCGGAAATAACGTTAATTTTATCATGAGAAATTTAGGGGTGTCAAAAGTGAAGCTAACTCGCTCAGAATTTTAATGGTTGGGTTAAAATAATTTGAATTGGATTGATTATCAACTTATTCAAGCTTAACCTATTTGAAAAGATATCTCAATTGAGTCCAACTCAATTTCTAATTTCAACTCGTTTTAAATTTTTTTATTAAGATATGTTCCTATATTGAAGATATGAATGGATTTGTCTATCAATTTGTTACTTTTTTAACAAAAAATTCTTGAGCGGAAATTCAAAAATTGTGATTATAAAAGTTAAATATCAATATGTTAAATTATTGAGATTAATCGGGTCAAATTGGACGAGTCAAGACCCAACCCGTTTTTTAGCCCATTTGAGCTCAAATAAATTTGGGTGGATCAAGACTCAACCCGGTTTCTATTGAACTCATTTAAATATTTCTAATTTCAACCCAAGCCGCTCATTTGACACCCCTGTGTACATGGTTGTGGATGTTAGGTTGCTTAAAAAGTTGTCAATAAGATCTCAAAAGAAAGTGTAAAAATGACTTTTATTTGTTCTTGTAACAAGCTAGGGATAATTACTTAAGAAAATAGTACCGGTTGTTTCAAGAGAAGTTTGTGCCAAAAATGCAGCGATTTCCTTCTTACGAGTGTTGGTGTTTCCAGTAGTTCCAAAAGCAGCAAAGGACCTTGCAGCTGTTATAAAAGCATCATAAGTGTAAAATCCTTTGGCATTACAATTGGCATCATTACGATGCAATAGCATTCTCTCAAATATGTCTTTACTAATAAGAGCACCAACATCTTGTGTCAATCCTCCTCTTGTAGACAACACACAAAACAAAACAAAACCCCAAAACATAATTTTGTTCTTCATTTAGTTTTTACCAAGTTGTGTGTGATTATTTCTGAGTGATGGTAAGTAAGGTTGCTATTTATAGGGAACAGAGAGTGAAATAGGCTTTTCAAAATGAGTAGAAAGAATAAATTTTTGGGTCTGTTTATTCCAACACTTCCACTTAGCTTTGAGTGCAGCATTTGCTTAATTATATATTAAAATCAATTGGATGAATCATTATGGACAAAGTTGGGACTTGGGAGGAATCCACTTAAGCTAGTCTTGGGTAGGATTCCTTACTATGACATATTCTTTGGCATATAACACATAAATATGTCATTTAATTTGACGTTAACTTAAAATTATGTCATTTGCTTATTGAACAAGTAGCACACACTTGTCCAATGTGACATTATATATGTCAAACGTCACGTAGGACACAAAATGTTCATGTAGGAGGACGTCATGTTAGGTAACATATTTTTCATTTTGTAGGTTGTTACAAAAAGAATGACGCAATTCATTTAGCTACAAGAATCACAAACTTAAAGTGAGAATATAACTACAAAAACACTTCTTGCATTATTTGATTTGATATAAACATGTATATATAAACCTTTTTTCATAAACAACATGGTGCACTAATTGAATCTTGAACTATGAAGGTGATTCAGTTCATTCAAGAATAAACTAATTCTATCTTTTTTTTGTACCAATTAGTAGCGTTGTGTATGGATCACAAGTAAACTAGGTGTGTATATAAAAAATGATTCCAAACATCAGGAACTCCAGGAAGGCACCAATGTATACAATCTGCATAACTACTTGGATTTGCCAATTGTTCTTTGGTTAGAGGATCCCAGTGCTTTCTGTATATTGATGAATGACCTTCCTTTCTATATTCAGAAAGTTGAGTAATGTTGAGCAACTCAACTTTGAAACCACTCTTCTCATTCAGTTTCTTGATGACCGATTCCACCAATTTCATCATCTTTGGATCTGAATCTGATCCCCAATACTCTCTATTAGTTATCGGTTCTGTTTCATCGTAGCAGTTCTGACCATTTGCTTTCCCCCAATCTTCTCCCCTGCCATTTTTTATGATTCAAATATATAATTAGTACTCGTACGACTCAATAAACTAATTGAAAGTCAAAATCCAACAAGATGTATATACAATGTATAAAGCCAAAGTCAAAGAATAAAAGATGATTCATGACATGATCTCATATTACACGAAGACTTGTTCGTACTCGGAGCTTGACATCAGCTACAACTTTTTTAATCTTATTTTCATGGACTTCCCATCCCCATGCTTGGTTTCGGTTTACAAAAGGAATAAATAATGGAGGCATTCAGAGATGCAACTAAACAAATTCTTTTAGAAAGGGTTGTTGAAGGCACTAAAGTTTGAAAGGTTCTTCATAAGTGAACTCATTTTGTCAAAACAATGGAGAAGTCCATTATACTACTTTCAAAATAGCTTTAATTATACTGACCATTTGCCTAAACCAACCATTTATCTCCTGATCACGCTTAATTAACACTACACTAATTTGAATAGTAAGAGCAAACTTGAGAAACATATGCTATACCTGTTGTGTGTAGGTGATAAACTAACAAAGAAAACTCGAGTCTTGGAGCGATTAACATGAGTATCCAACCAATCTGCCCATGTCTGTAGCCCCAATTCGTATGTACGCAGCATCCCTAAATATTCATACTTTGCATTTGCACTTTCAAAAGATCCCCACCTGAAATTACACAATCTCCATCATAATTCACGAACATCGATCTTGTGCCTAAAATCTTGAAAATAAGAATCATAATTTTCTTATGAATTGAAAAAGGTTGCAAAAAGTGTACTCACAGAACCTTCAAATTCAATCTCCACCATAGATATGAATTAAAAACTAGCACATCAGCATCATTCCAAATTCTGGCATGTTTTTCTATCGAATCGATTCTCACTATGCGTTCTTCCACACGATGATATGATGGATCGTCGCAATTTGATTCAACTAATAATGGTGCCCAGTAGAAATCAATAGTAGCATTGTACTCCTTCATTAACGTAAAAAAACAAAATTAAACTAATTAGAACTGCAAGCAAAGTTCAAGGAGAAGAACAAGGTAGCGTATTGGAGAAGCAATTTTCGAAACTCACAATAGCTTTAAAGGTGACCAAAGAGCCATTATAGTTAACATATTTGAGATGATTAGGAATTTCTGATTCTAATATGCAGACCATTGAAACCCATTGATTCCTATTGAGTGAATCTCCCACATAAACAACCCTTTTGTTCCTCAACTTCTCCAGCATAGCCGTAGCATTAAATCTTCGCAAAATCAACAACTATAATCAAATACCCAGAACAAAAAGTAGGATAAAATTGAAGAAAAACTGAATAATACTCTACCTAGGAAGGTCACAATCATTGGGTTGCCATTTCCAGTAGAGATAGTCAAGATTCTTTCTCCCAAACTTCTGACAAGCCATTCCATCATCCATGAACGAACAATTTGTCCCATTATACAGAGGGCGAGATTGATTATCAAATACCCATTTACCAGAATAGAAATTACAGCTAGATAACGAGCTTATCTGGGTCTGCTTCTCGACTAACTTTGGAGCTTGACCAATACCTCTGGACATCGACAAAACCGTAAGAACTAAAACTGCAGTGATAGTCACTACCAGCAACTGAAAACTTAGCTGAATACACATTCCCTTGTTCTTTAAACTAGAGCCGAAAAGTACTGGTCTTCCATTCATTTTTTTTTCTCTGCTTTTTCAGGCTTTTGCTTTGGATTTTGCTGTTTGTTCGTCTTTAAAAATGGTGGACATAAGTCATGATTGGCGGAGATAAAAATGGCGAGCTCGTCAAAGAAGCAGCCATTAAGGCTAATTATATTGACCCAAATTTGGGACTTATTTGGAACCAGGTGCTTTTTTTATCTGTAGCAATAACAAATGCCGTACTTCTTTTTATTTATTTTGTTCCATAATCTTATTGAATATTTTATATTAATAAATTTAATAGAATAATTAATTAAGCTATTAAAATTTTATAAAATTACTTAATTTTTAAATCTTGATATGATAATTATTTATTAAATTACGATAAACTAGGAGTATTATTTTAATAATTAAATTTAAAAGTTCACATCAATCAATGTGCTTTTGAACTTTACTGAAAGCGAAAGTAGCTCTCCAATTTACACATTTGTGTAAATTGTTAATGACAAGTGACGACCTAATACTTTGTCGAAGTGGCAATCGACAAGTTGTAGAAGAAGCAGTTAAGGGCAAAATTGTCTTTTTACATTAAGTTAGTTAGGATCAATTGGCTTGCTAAAAGAAGTTATCTAGTTAATTAGAGTCCTAAATGTAGTCAAGCTACTAATTACCCTAGATACTATCTAATCACACCTATGATTACCTAATGTGTAGAGATGTATTAAGTAGAACAATTAGTGTTCTTTTTCCTATTAATAAGGTTTTATTCTTTGATCTCAATTGATGATTACTCATTCTCCATTTGTAATTTTCTTCCCCATTTCATCTTTTTCTGATTTTGGATTTGAAGTTTGAACAAATGCACATTTCAGACCTGTACGTTTGGCAAAGTCCTAAATACACTATTCACTAGTCACGTACGGCTGCTAATTAATTTAGGAAGGCTCTTTGAATATTTCTCAAAATTTAGATGAACTATTGACCATTCATTTAAGTGCCTGATAATAATTAATTAATTTTCTTATAATATTTGATGGTTTATGACTTACAAATCAAAGTTTCTTACGAGTCAATGTGAACTACTACATATCAACCTAACTTTTGGATGAATCAAAGGGAGTCATTACAACGCCAAAACTTGGACGGATAATGATTTTACATGCTACTTTTCAAGAACAAATGAATCCAATTACATTCTTAGTATTTCTGTAAGAACCAAGTCTCATTCTACATGGGTCACAAGTAAAGAAGGTATACATACAAGAAATGATTCCAAACATCAGGTACTCCAGGAAGACACCAGTGTGTACAATCTGCATAACTACTTGGATTTTCCAATTGTTCTTTGGTTAGAGGATCCCAATGCTTCCTGTAAATGGATGGATGTGCTTCTTTTCTATATTCAGAAAGTTGTGTAATGTTGAGCAAATCTGCTTTGACACCACTCTTTTCATTCAGTTTCTTCATGGCTGCTTCCACCAATCTCATCATTCCCGCAGATGATTCCGATCCCCAGTACTCTGCATTAGAAATTGGCTCTGTTTCATTGTAGCAATTCTCACCCTCTGCCTTCCCCCACTCTTCTCCCCTGACATTATATCAAACAACAGTTCTTTGCTTTACATACTTGATATGTTTTACTTGAGTCAAGGGTGTCGAAAACAACATATTCTTTGCATACACTCAGACCCCTACTTGTGGAATTACACTAAATATGTCATTAACATTTGAGTGTGTTTGTAGAATATCTCGAGTCCAAACAGATCTAGCAAAAGATAGATGATAGTAGAAGTTGAAAAAGCTTACAAGTGATACCAACTACTAGTGCCTACTATAGTATATGGGAGAAATTCTGTAGTACGGAGCATTGAAACATTATGGACCCAATGGAAGCATATGTTATTGAGGCTTCATACAATCGACCCTACTAAGTGTGATTGAGGAGTAGCAGTAACTGATATTGTTAAGGCATGTTCAATGTAGGGACAAATGTGGAGAGTCAATTATGAGTTCACGTGATCTCATTAACTTTTCTTCTAGTTCTCGTATACATGTTTAGAAATTAACAAGTATCTATAAATATTTGAAGGACCTAATTATTGTTATAATATATTAACTTGAGATCATTATAGCAACTCATAAACTTCAAATCTAAATGCGCTTCTCAGCAATTAGAAAAACTTTTTTTATAAAGCGTAGTGGGAGAATTATATACCTGCTGTGCGTGGGCGACATGCTAACAAAGAATACTCTTGTTTTGGTGCGGTTGAGATGAGTGTCCAACCAATCTGCCCATGTCTGTAGACCCAACTCGTATGTACGCACCATCCCTAATTGTTCATACTTTGCATCTGCACTTTCAAACGAACCCCACCTGAAATTGCACAAATCACTGTCATTTTATTCCCAAAATCTTGAAATTTAGTACAACTTGTTATGATGGATTTAATGTTGTGTTTACTCACAGAACAGTCAAATCCAGTCGCCACCATAAATAGGAATTAAAAACAAGCACATCAGCATCTTCCCAAAATTTAGCATGTTTCTCTATTGAATCAACTCTCAATACACGATCCTTCACACGATGATGCCAGGCATCGTCGCAATTAGATTCCACCAACAATGGTGCCCAGTAGAAATCAATTGTAGCATTGTATTCCTTCACCAATATAATGTTTGGAAACAAGATCTAAGTCCACAACTTCAATAACCAAAGAACAAACACATAATAATAGTTGAAACTCACAATAGCTTTTAATGTGACCAAAGAACCATTGAAGTGAACTTGTTTGAGATGAGTATGGATTGATGACTCCAGCATGCACACAAGTGAAACCCATTGATTCCTATTGAGTGAATCACCCACATAAACAAGCCTCTTGTTCCTCAACTTCTCCAGCATCGCTGTTGCATTAAATCTTATCCAAAATCATAAATACCCAAAACCCAAATGACAAAAAACAGAAGATAAACAGAAATTTTTTTACTATACCTTGGAAGGTCACAATCATGGGGTTGCCATTTCCAATAGAGATAATCAAGGTCTTTTCTCCCGTAATTTTGACAAGCCATTCCATCATCCAAAAACGAAATGAAGGAACAATTGGACCCATTATAAAGAGGACGAGATTGGTTATCGAATACCCATTTACCCGAAAAGAAATTGCATCTGGATAATGAGTTCAACTGGATCTTATCCCCATTTTCCTTTGGCCTAATAATGGCTCTTGACAGGGACAAAGTTGTGATAAGTAGAACCGCAGTGATAAGTGCTACCATCAGCTGAATGGTTAGCTGAACACCCATTAACTTGTTATTCCAATAGCTCCAGAATAGTATTGGTCTCCCATTCATTTTTTCTGTTTTCAATTTGTTGAAATATGCCATCATTCAAACATGTTCTACTCATACAAATAACAGCAACAACATATTAATATGTCAGTGTACAGGGAGGGTGGTGTACTCATAGCTCTAGAAATTGTTTTGAATATAGATTCTTTTACTTAAATAAATCATAATTTCAGAATTTTTATTTATTTCGCTTATTTTGTCTTTTAGTTCGTTTTTAAATGAATGATTATTTTATTGAAAATCATAAGATTAAAGGATATTTTGAACAAAAAAAAGTTAATATCTTTTTCATTTTATAATTACACGATTCAATTTTTTTTTTTTAAATTCATGTCAAGTCAAAATAGAATAAATAAATTAAAACGTTAAAAATATAAAATCAAATATATATGAAAAGAACATACAAAAAGTGGCATTAAAATTATACGAGAAAATACAATAACAGTAGTAAATAATATAATAAACGAATAAATAAAACAAGAAAATAGTATAAGTATAATTATGAAGTTCCATAATTTTGTTACGCTGCTTCTAATAGTTGAGTGACCTTTTAAAGCAAAATATTAACTTTGGAAAATGACATTTAAGTAGATGTTAACCTTTTATCTTAGATTTCAACATCAATATCGTTCTATATAGGATCACTATTTGAACATGCTCCTACCTGTCAGGATTATAAATAATTTAATATTACAGTAATGGAATCCTTTTTTTGGGGGGGAAATTTCATATATGGCAAACTTATTAGATTAAATAACATTATATAGATATAGTTTATGTAATTATTTTATATGGGTATAGTTTAGTTATTTTAGGTATCTTTAATTTTGTATATAATTTTTTTTTATTTATACAATTATATTTTAAAAAGTGATTTGTAACTGAAGCGTTAAATATGCTAATAATAAATTTAGATAATGCCACAATTTTAGGAAAACGTCCCTTTTTTTAAGCTAAACGTCCAATTCAAAAAAAAATCTGTATATATATATGAACTTACCTTTTTTTTTTGTATATTTATATATGTACATGAATATATTAGTTAAACTCCAATAATAAATAAAGTTAATATATACTAACTTCAATAATTTGTATATAACTACTACAATATACAAATTATAATCACATATGATATTTTCCCATCTATATAACTAAATCCAATTACTTTGTGTACATATGTATATAAAAAAAATAATGAGCCTTTAATATACAATTCCCTACTATCAGCTATTAAAACAGACATGTACATATTAATTTTTGTAAATGTATATAAACTTAATATATACTAACTTCAATAATTTGTATATAACTAATAGAATATACAAATTCTAATCATATATATAAAAAAATTCATCTGTATAACTAAGTCCAATTACTTTTTTGTATATATATACAAAAAACAAAAATAACATAAATATGCAATATACTATATACAATTACTAAACATGCAATTATACTATATACAATATTTAAGTAATATTTTTTTGTATATTGACATCTAATTAACCAAAAAATTGTATCTAACTTTGTGTTTTAATACAGTACCTCATGAATATTATGTTCTTCAGATCCGACAACTTCAGAAGCATTTTCCTCTGATTCAATGTTTACAGCTTTCCTCTTTCTTCTTCCCTGTACTATTTTAATGCATCTAGCTTTGGCATTGTTAATAATTTGTTGAACTGCCGTAGGGTCGTTTTTTTTCTTTGATCTAAGCTCTTCCATTGTTTGTTCTTGTATAACTTGATTTGATTTTCCCAATGACCCTACATCAAACCCAAAATCTTGAGTTAACCCCATTGAAAACGATGGTAAAATGTCAACAACATTGACATGCAAAGGAATACCTCTGGTAATCCTCAAAGATGGAGATAATTCATTCATTGTGTGACCAATTTTAGATCTATGAAGAACAAAAAATCGATTATTTCATCAAAATATATGAAAAAATAATAAACAGAACACATACAAATTTTGAATAAGTAAAAAAAAAGAAGAGGTAAACAACTAAAATTAAGGAGTACTTACGAAATTGACTTCAACTTCGGGAGAGAGTAATCTAATTTTGGACAAAAATTTGAATTTCAAACCGGATAGCTGGAGTATTAAATGTAGGAGAAAAATTTGGAATGTGAAAAGGAGAGAGAAAATTATATACAAAATTAGAAAATAATGTTTTTATACCATTGGTTATATAATAGGTTGTGGACCCCATTAAATATAGCAAACAAAAATAAACTATAACTATATAAGGTAAATAAATTAAATAATACCCCTATAATATAATTAGCTATGAATGTTTGTCATCCCATGTAATTTTCCCTTTTTTTTAATCACTTAAACTGAAATCGTTAAAAGTTATGTTCATCGATTTTCAACCTTGTGAATTGTATTACTACTACTGAGTAATAAATTTAATTAAGTAGGAAGCACATGTGCAAGATTGAAAGGTGACAAAGGATTTGGAATATTTAAAAAGATAAATTAGCTGTAGATGTGGATATATGTGTGTCTTATTAATGGCCAATCAACAACTCATCAGAGCGCCAACAAGAAATTATTCTATTTATTTTTTACTCAAAAGTTCACTGCCTTTTGTGCAACTACTACTAAAAGTCAGTAGAAAGAATACACTTTTAACCCTCTAAATACACTCCCTGTAGCCACTTGAATTATTAAAATTGCTTCCCTCATATACTAGTGCAAATTGTAAATGCAAGAACTACGTAAACAAAGGGGAAATTAAAATATCGATGAGATAATAGTACATGTGGTATATTATGTTATAAGATAAAAGAAACTCTTATTTGTGTAGACAAAATAAGAAACTACATATTCCAAATGGGCATCCAAAATCCCTTATTCATTCAGACATCATCATGACTAAAACACAAAGCTAGGCCTCAGCAAAGTTCCTCTGGTCGTAGCAATCAAGGTTGTCCCCGGGAGCAACATTCAGTATCGTACAATACCTTCTGTAGAATCCAATCCGATCCTCCACTTGTGGATTCTGTCCTTTGCCACATTCAATTCCACCGTTAATTATGTTTGTAATGACACCGTAGCCTGGTTGTCTATTTGCTGATGCATCGGCGGCTGATGGCGTCCATTGCCCTGTGATAACATCGTGGCATGATGGCTTATTGCCTTGTGCGGTCATCCAGAACCATATTGCTGTTTTAAAAGATACAGTTGCATCTGTAGCTACTAAGTCAGGGTTGTTAACTAAGTCTTGTCCAATTGCTTGCCCAGCTAAGTCATAGTTAGATTGCCTGCAAAATTCATTTTATCATCAATAAATTAGTTACAAAATGGAGTTTTTTTCATCTAATATTTCCTAGTTAGAAATGAACTATTTTCCTCTGTTTTACATACCCTGTCAATTGGATAGGTCCTCTGCCATAAAATCCACTTCCCATTTGATTGCCTTCCCTAACAAAACAATATCCTCCGGCAAATGGACCATCAGCACTTAGGCTACCACCTGCAAAATTAGAACCAAATACTTCACTTATTGTAGTGTATATAACGTAAGTCCATTTCTTAAAAACGTTTGATAACTAGACACTTTGTGTTACAATCAGGGGCAGATCTATGTACAATTATGCTAACATTGAAACCAAGCTACTGTTCAAACGGTAGAGCATCTAGAACCTCAAAATCCTGGATACGGTCAGTCCAATTTTGTGTACTTACATGTTGAACAAATAACAGTAGTTTGGTGTAAGAGCCAAAATTACCAGTAGTTTCATGAGAAGTTTGACCGAAAAAGGCAGCAATTTCCTTCTTACGCGCAGTATCATCACCGGTAGTACCAAAACCTGGAAATGAATTGGCTGCAGCTATGAATGCATCATAAGTGTAGAAGCCCTTGGCAGGACATCTATCATCGTTTCGATTCTTCAGCATCTCGTTGAACAAGTCACTTGTCACAATTGTACCAACATCTTGTGCAAAGCTTCCCGTTAGGAACAACAAAAAGACACAACATAATACCATTTGTGATCTCAAAAACTCCATTTCTTTTTTGCTTCTCTCTGTTCTTTCTTATGCATTAGATAGTGTTTACTGAATTAGTAATTGTAGGTGGGTATTTATAGAGATCAAACTTAAAGTGAGCATACACTTCTCCACTGATTTCAACAAAATTGTTGTAATTGTCAAGTTTGCTTCTTCGTTTCGGTCATATACGTGTGTCATCATAAATGGCCGAAACAAAAATAGATGCACAATTTTCTTTTCACCTATAGTAACCTAGAAGAGGTAGATATGAAAATTTGAATTTAATATCTCAAAAATAATTCAACTATGTGAATTTATGTTGTACACTCGTATTAACTGAATTCAAATATCACCCTTAGTTTGTTTGTTTTTTTACGTGGTGAAATTAAACTGAGTTTATCTTGTAAAGCAAAGTCTACTCATTATAATTTATCACTGTACGTAATCCCTATTTGTTACAAATTGTCGAGTTCTGGAATATCAAAGTTGGCTACGTAATGAAGTCGGTACAAGACTTTTCCAACTGAAGTGATTTCTAGTATACGCCAAAGTTTTTTTTTCCCCTCAACGGTATAAGTCAAGTCTTGGGAGCTATATTTTCCGCGCACATTCAGGTGAAAACCATGATGTGATTTCAAATAAACGAGTCGAGCTGAATTTTGTTAATGTTAATTTGAAACAAGTCAGAAAATTTGGGTTGCATGAATAGGACAAAATTGTTTAAATAATGAGTCATAGTCTAATCAAACAAATAGTTTATAACTTTTGCTATTTTTTTTTTATAATTTGTTTCAAATTCTTATTACGAATGCATTTACGTCTTAAACAAATAAAAAAAACTTTAATTATTTTGATAAAATTCCAAATTGGATCAATTTAAACTACATATTCTTACAATTTTTTGATGGACTAAATTATACCGACCAAATTAAATGAACAAGTTATTAATTCGTTCAAACTCGGATAAGTCATCTTTCCTTGCCTAATTTTATGTGTGATTTTGCTATAGAAGTCTTTAGAAGTCAAGACGTTAATAATCGTAGTTAGGCTTTTACTAGTCCTCTAAATAGTTTTCAAAAGTATAATTACAAGTTTGGCAGGT